TTAAAATGGTACAAGACCATAAAACGTGGAGCTAAGAATCATTAAGAAGAAGAATGTGTTTGGTCCAATACAAAGGACACCATTCAACGTAAAGCCAGTGGGATAAATGAGTCTTTGTGATTGTGTGAAATAAACATAGTGATATATCAGACACGGCTTATCGCACAAAGATTCACACAAAGACCAGAAATATAGGAGATATACTCTCCTGTGGTGGATGCTAAGACATTTAAATTTTTGCTAAGTCTGGCTATATAAAAGAGAAAGACTTGATTTGAGGCTAATGGATGTAATGCCTGCATATTTATATAAGTCCACTGGATAATATATGAGATTACCAGAGGGTATTGAGCTCAAAGATAAGAAAGATTCTCGAGAACAGCACTGCATAAGGCTGGACAAATCCTTTCATGGACATAGACTAAGTGGGCGTATGGAAGGTTATAAATGATCCCATCAGTCCATATATTTTCATAAAGAGGTTTGCAAACAAAGGATTTGTAATCATAGCAGTGTATATGAATGATTTAAACCTCTGGGTAATCGACCAAATAGTTGAGTATATCTAAAGAAAGAATCTGAAATGAAAGACCTAGGCAATAATTAAGTTCTGTTTGGGATTACAACTTGAGTACGTGAATAATGGAATCCTTGTGCATCAAGTGGCATACACTGAAAGAGTACTCAAGGAGATTTAATAAGGACCAGGCCCGCCCATTGACCAGACCCAATGGTGGTGAGAAGCCTCAGATTGGATAGTGATCCATTATGTCCGGAAATGGCATACCTTAGTGCCATAGGAGTTCTAATGAATTTGGCTAGACACACTAGACCAAACATTTGTTTTGCCGTGAGTCTCCTGTCTAAATTTAGTTCATGATCAACCCAAAGGCACTGAAAAGGTTTAAAGGAAGATTTTAAAGTCTATTCTTCCTCGTTGTTTACTTGGGTTTTATTCTATACTTATCTAACCAAAGAAGGTCCAGTTTGCTTTGGTTTAGTTTGATTTGCTGATGCAGGTTATTCATAAGATCAGATTATGGCATGGTCAATGAATATGAACTACGTGTGGCTTGATCCCTTCCAAGGGTACGTAGGCAGCCTTCCTTAAGGCGCAGCTACTACTACATCAAAGACCATCATATTTGAAGACAACGCAGCCTGTATTGCTCAACTCAAGGACGGCTACACTAAGAGAGACTGGACGAAGCACATTTTGCCAAAGCTCTTCTTCACACACGAGTTACAGAAAGCCGGTGAAGTACAAGTTCAACAGGTCCGGTCCAGCAACAACTCAGCCGATCTATTCACCAAGTCTTTGCCAACATCAACACTTAAGAAACTCATACATCATATTGGGATGCGAAGACTTAAGGAGCTTCAGTGATGTACAAATCAGGGGGAGTAATGTGTGTTGTACTCTTTTTCCTTCACCACGGTTTTGTCCCACTGGGTTTTCCTGGTAAGGTTTTAATGAGGCAGCATTCCCAAGCACATTACGAAGATCTCTGAACATCTACATGGTTATGTCATCCAAGGGAGAGTGTTATAAATCATATGGATGGACTCCATAACCGGCCCAAGGCCCATTAGGTTTTATCTCGTTCTTGTGTTCCCGTGTAAACTCATATATATACTCTCTTATGTGTTAATAAGATTACACAGTTTTACAACAGTTTAAAAGTTTTATACTTTTTCTTAAATATAGTTTTTGGTGTTTTTATACTTTTCTCAATTATATATTACATTAATCTTGGTAAATTTTGGTTTAACTGCTATTGAAACTGCTAATCAACTGTTGTAAATCTCCCGCAAACACATCTGTTTTTAACCACTAAACCAATCGATCAAAACGCTAATTAACGCTTGAAGCCGCAACCGACCGCTTCCGTAAACTCCCACAACTGCAACCGCTGCATAGGTTTTCACTCTTTTTACCTTCTTCGTAGGTTTTCTCTTTCGTAAGTCTTCCTTTTGTGATTTTAGTTTCCTAGGATTTTAATGTTTTCGCCGGCTTTATTTTTAGCATTTTTGTACACTTGTGATGTAATACATTTAATCTAATATAATCCAGATGAAAAAGAAATTTTTTTTTGACATAGGTATTATTCGTTTGTCAGTATTTGCGACTGCTACTGAAAATTGTTCGTTTGACAATCTTAAGATTTTGCGACTAATCGAGTGATCAGTCGCTGTGACTAGCAACTAAGTTTTTTGATTGCATGAAAATTAGCGATGCGATTTTTTTAAATGAGGATTAGTCGCAATGACTAGTCACAAAATTGCTAAACGAACAATATCCCGCGATTTCAAAATCGCAGTTACGAAACAAACATGGCCTTCACAATAGGCATGACCAAAAGCTAACCGTAACCGGACCATAACCGTATAAAACGGTTAATAACCGTAACCGTTAACCGTAAAAATAGATTAGTTACGGTTAAAAATATATTAACCATCACCGTTAATGTATCAAAACCGTTAGTTAACCATATGGTTAACCGCATAATTAACCGTATAGTTAAAACCTTAAATACATAATTATTTCACTAAACAAAGTCTTAGATGGTTCAATGCACCCACTACTAAATCTAATCCACTCCACTAGTCCACTACTCATTTTCCATAAATCAAATCATAAATAGTTTAGATAGTTATTACTTATTATTTATACTCTTGTAATCGTTTCTTAATTCTCACCACATCCTTTCTATAGTATTGTTTGGAATATGTGTTGTCAATATGACAATAACTCAATCATTATAATTATGACCATTGATTTAGTTATTCGTTGGTTTACTTAACTTAACAAAATAGCTAATTAACTACATATATTTGAAACACATAATCACATATATTAGATACTAGGATCGGACCCGCGGTCCATCACGGGAGAATATTGGTTTACATACGTTGCGTTTAATATTGTGTGTTTTTTAGTAGAACGAATCGTGTAGTATACTTATAAATATTCATAATAACGAATTGTAGAGAAAATGTAAAATTGTTTATAAATATACCCATCGTATTAATTATGATTTACAAAATAGAATTTTGTGTTTTAAAATTCTAAAATTAGACGATTCATGGGAATTAGAGCAGTCAAAATAGGTCAAAAACCGCGGGTCGAGCCCACATTATCTCACTATGGGGCAGATTTGGGAAAATATATTAAACCCGCAAATAAGCGGGCCACATGGATTAATTCGGAGTGGGTCATAGGTTTAATCGGTTTTCATCCGCGGGTTGGCGGATCAGCCCGCATATTAGTATTTATTGATAAAATTATAATTTATTCAACATGTGGTAATTTAAACAAACTTTTAATAGTATTTTGATTTATTAATTTATTTTAGTAGTATTTTAAATTTTGGTTACTTTAAAATTATTTAAACAAAATCCATGGACAATTCCGCAAATCCGCATACAGTCGCGGGACGGGTTTGTATTTCATATATGCTACCCGCGGGTCGTGCGGACCGACTAACTACAAGTCAAAGTATTTTTTGTCTATCGCAAAACGGACTTAACGGGACGAATCAACTCGCTTTGACAGTTCTAATGGGAATCCCTATTATTTAGTCATACAACAAAATGAAGTTTGGACATAGTAATAATAGAATATGTATCTTATTTGTTAGATGAGAGATTGAAAGATGAAGTATAATGATTAAAAATTAATTATTATTTTTCATGATTCACAAAATTTAATAAATACTTATCATCTTGTTGAATAATTCTAAAATCATATTCAAAAAATCTTTATAAATTGAAAATTAAACTTATTTGGTAAGCTATATGTATGAAAATATCATAATTTCGATTTAATCTAATTAAATTAAAATTAGTTACATGGATTTCATATCTATTTAATTTACACGACCAAAATAAAAATATCTATTTAATTTACACAACCAAAATAAAAATATCAATTTAATTTATAAAACAGATGGGTTATTTGTGATAAATTTTCTAGAAATCTTTAGAAGCAAGTAAAATATCTTTCAATTAATGATAATTGGCTAAAATGAGTGAAATTAATGACAAAAAACGTTGATTGTTATGGAATTAGTCCCAAAATATATATGAACAAATTTATTATACGTAATTAATGTATAATATTGTTTGGAATATGCTTTTATTATTAGTTACAATAAGTACAATCAGATTTTATTTGATTTCTATAAATATTTGATTTTATTTCGATTTTTCATTATTAATTCGAATTTATATTCTAAAAAAATTTCAAAGATCCGATTTCAAAATTTCGGGTCAATTTTCTGATTTTAACCGGACCCATTTTCATTTGTACTTCTCTTTTAATAGTATAGAGATTATAAAATAAATATTATTTGATATATCATTATTAATTTTTTTATACTAAAGGTTAAAAAATCTAAATTTTTGTCTTTAATATTAACCGTATTGTAATCATCAAATAACCGTAACCGTATTTGACCGTAACCGTAACCATATTTAACCGTAACCGTTTTAACCGTATATATAGTGGTTAAGGTTACGGTTAGAGAAAATTTATAACCGTAACCGGTGGTTAATAAATCGTAACCGCAATAACCGTAACCGTGGTCATGCCTACTTCACAATAATTTTAACAAATAAATTTTTATGATTTCACTTATGAATGTGTTAACAGTTATAAAGTTTGCGAAATAATTAAAATTTTATTGACTTGATTGGTGAAGAATTAAGCAATTTTCTCATCACCTTGATAATATTGGGCCTAGCGATGAACCGGGCCAACGCCCATTAAATTTATCCGGTTTAATTTAAAACCGGAGACTCTTTGGTAGAGAAAACCCTAATTGTATATAAACCGAAATACTTTCCTTATTTCTTCACTTCTTCATAGCCGTCTGCAAAAATCCTACGAGATCCATCAATTTCCACCGTAAACGACGATTCTTAACCATTTCAATTTCTCCATCTTCTTCTCCGATCGAAGTCTCCATTTATTTATCTGTTTATCATTTTTTCAGAAAATGAAGGTTGTTGCCGCGTTCTTGCTCGCTGTTTTGAGCGGAAAAGCTTCCCCAACCAGTGCCGATATCAAGACTATTCTCGGATCAGGTTCGTTTTGTAGAATCACAATCGATTTTACTACGTTATGTCTTAGATTCGTTGTTTGAGTCAATAATTTGAATCCTTATTAGATTGTTGAGAACTTGCTTAAGCTGAAACAATCTGTTTTCGTAGTCTCTGTATCAGCTTAAGCAGTGTTAATGATAGTGGAGATGCGTAAGTTGTGTAAGAGAAATGATTTAGTGAATAATGGGATCCACTGATTATTTATTGTGTGGATTTAATGAGTTATGCAATTAGTTTGGGACGAGGAAAAAATAATGCAATTAGTTTGGGATGATTGTTAATTGGGATGTGGCATTGTTATTTTGTTTGATATTGCAGTTGGTGCTGAGTCAGAGGATGCTCAGATTGAGCTGTTGTTGAAGTGAAAGGGAAAGATTTGGCGGAGGTTATTGCTTCTGGAAGGGAGAAGTTAGCTTCAGTGCCGTCTGGTGGTGGTGGTGTTGCGGTTGCTTCTCCTCCATCTGGTGGAGGAGGTGGTGGTGCTCCTGCTGCTGAGCCCAAGAAAGAAGAGAAGAAGGAAGAGAAGGAAGAATCCGATGATGTAAGTTTACTTTCTTTCTTACAAAAGTCTTGATTTTATGGATTGTTTGAAATTAAACCGAAAAATAGTGGCTTACTTATGTGTGTTTTTGTGTGAATTTGCAGGACATGGGTTTCAGTCTATTCGAGTAAGCTGGTAGCATATGAATTCTGGTTTTTGTTGTCATCTTTTTATATTGTAACCTTTTGAAATCTATATGTTGTTGTTGTTGTTGTTGTTTAGTTTGTATTCGATCATCTTTTTAGACATTGCTGAAATTTTCAAGAGATTTTGACCCAAACAACCTTTGCACTTTTTGTTGGCTTTTCTCTCGAGCTTATTTTGTTGCATCATTTCATCTGACTTCATTTTATGTACAACTAACAACAACAAAAGCCATGGTCCTAGACTCCTAGTCATGGTATGATGATGAGATTCCACCTCTAGACTTGGCTTTCGCTAGATGATTCCTTGTTCATTTGTAGCCTAGCTTCAGTTCGACAGTCGTTTGATTTCAAGGATAGATCAAAATGTTTTTCTTAAAAGTTCAAAAATTGAGAGCTCCCCAATTTGAAACCTTTTTTTTTTTTTTTGGACAAAACCCCAATTTGAAACCTTAACTTTGATATTTGGTAACAAAAGGGCAAAAATTCTCATCTCGTGTTGTATTGTAGCCCCTTCAATTCCGCGCCATATCATTAGTAACTCTTGCATAGTCATATCGCTCGTTAACTATATACCGGAAAATGCCATATGAAGGCGTTGTTTCGGACAACAGCGGTAGAGTAGAAGCTACTATTGATGTCATCGAGCAAGAAGGTGCTATAGCAGACGAGTTAGAGGTGAAATCACATCCATTAAACAAAATAACACGAGAGAAATATATCGTCGTTCCCTTAACATCAAAATACCCGTCAATCGAAATCTGGTGCCCATATAAATGTGGGCCTGAAAAACAATTGGGCCTAATTTAAAATCTTAGAGATAAAAAACCCTAAGTGTATGTATATAAATCAAATAATTTCCATTACTCCGTACTTCTTCTCCATCGCCGTCTAAAAACCCTAATCTCACTCCGCCTCCTGCGAGATCCATCAACACTCCGCAGTAATGGCCTCCATTTCCATTTCTCTCTCCTTATTCTCCTACGTAGTCGGAGTCTGTTTGATTTTTAATCTGTTTTTGATTTTTCCAGAAAATGAAGGTTGTCGCTGCGTTTTTGCTCGCCGTCTTGAGCGGGAAAGCTTCCCCAAGTAGTGGCGATATCAAAACTATTCTTGGATCAGGTTCGTTTCTTTAGAATTACTTTGAATTGAGCTTTCGATTTTTTTTTAACATTGTAAGAGTTAATGGAGACTATTCTAGTTAGTGAGAATTGGTTTTAACTTGAAATGTTATTTTGGAAATTGATTATTGGAACTAGCAATTGTAATTGTTTGTTGAACAGTGTGATCCAATAAGAGGCAATTGTAATTGTTTTGTAGAATCACAATCGATTTTACTACGTTATGTCTTAGATTCGTTGTTAGAGTCAATAATTTGAATCCTTATTAGATTGTTGAGAACTTGCTTAAGCTGAAATGTGATGTATATCATGGATTGTTAATGATAGTGGAGATGCGTAAGTTATGTAAAAGCAATGGTTTAGTGAACAATGGGATTCAATAATGAGTGTCTATTGTGTGGATTTATTAGTTTGTGATGATTGTTGTAATTGGGATGGAGGAATTGATGGAATGTGGCATTGTTGTTTTTGTTTGGTGTTGTAGTTGGTGCTGAGTCAGAGGATGCTCAGATTGAGCTGTTGTTGAAGGAAGTGAAAGGGAAAGATTTGGCGGAGGTTATTGCATCTGGAAGGGAGAAGTTAGCTTCAGTGCCGTCTGGTGGTGGTGGTGGTGTTGCGGTTGCTTCTGCTCCATCTGGTGGAGGTGGTGGTGGTGCTCCTGGTGCTGAGTCCAAGAAAGAAGAGAAGAAAGAAGAGAAGGAAGAATCCGATGATGTAAGTTTACTTTCTTTCTAACAAAATTCTTTGATTTCTTAAGCATTGTTTGAATTGAGATGATGGCTCACTTGTGTGCTTTTGTGTTAATTTGCAGGACATGGGTTTCAGTCTATTCGAGTAAGGTGGTAGCATATGAGTTCTGGTTTTGTTGTCATCGTTTTATATTGTGACCTTTTGAAATCTATATGTTGTTGTTGTTGTTGTTTAGTTTGTATTCGATCATCTTTTTAGACATTGCTGAAATTTTCAAGAGATTTTGACCCAAACATCCTTTGTACTTTTTGTTGGCTTTTGGCTTATCGCCTTTGAGACATTGCAATTGGTGTAACATTGTTGTCACTCTCGAGCTTATTTTGTTGCACCATTTCGTCTGACTATATTTCATTTACCTCTCACAACATCAAAAGCTATTGTCTCAGACTAGAGTCCTAGTCATGGTCTTGACTCGCACTATGATGATATTCCACCTCCAGCCTTGACTGATTACTTCTTGTTCTTTTTGGTGCATAGCTTCAGTTCGGCAGTCGTAAATTGAGAGCTCCCCAATTTTGAAACTTTTAACTTTGATATTTGGTAACAAAAGAGTAAAAATTCTCTTCTCGTCTTGTATTGTTTCCCCTTTAATGCCGTTCCATATTATTAGTAATTCTTGCATAGTCATATCGCTCTTTAATTACATACCGGAGAATGCCATATGAAGGCGGACAACAGCGGTAGAATAGAAGCTACTATTGATGTCCTTGAGCAAGAAGGTGCTATAGCAGACGAGTTAGAGGTGAAATCACATCCTTGACAGTTGAAACAAAATAACACTAGAGAAATATATATCGTCGTTCCGTTCTCAACATCAAAATACCCGTCAATCGAAATCTAGAGCCCATATAAAATTGGGCTTAAAAGTAACTGGGCCTAATAAATTTTAAAATCGGAGGAGAGGACATTGATAAAATAAAAACCCTAAGTGTATATAAATCATATAGTTTCCATTTTTCCGTACTTCTTCTCCATCGCCGTCTAAAAACCCTAATCTCTCACTCCGCCTCCTGCGAGATTCATCAACACTTCCGCAGTAAGCGCACCGTCTTATCCATTTATATTTCTGATTCTTCGTCTTTGTATTCGTAGTCTTCTTGATTTTGACTCTGTTGGTGTTCTTTTTTATTCCAGAAAATGAAGGTTGTCGCTGCGTTTTTGCTCGCCGTCTTGAGCGGGAAAGCTTCCCCAACTAGTGGCGATATCAAGACTATTCTTGGATCAGGTTCGTTTCTTTAGAATTACTTTGAATTGAGCTTTCGATTTTTTTTAACATTGTAAGTGTTAATGGAGACTATTCTAGTTAGTGAGAATTGGTTTAACTTGAAATGTTATTTTGGAAATTGATTATTGGAACTAGCAACATGATCCAATAAGAGGCATTTATTTTGTTGGTATTGGACTGTTGTGAGGTTTAGTGAGTTCATGTATGTGTTCAAGGGAACAAAGCATTTTAGTTAGGGATGATTGGGATGGAGGTATTGATGGAATGTGGCATTTGTTGTTGTGTTTGATTTTGCAGTTGGTGCTGAGACTGAGGATTCTCAGATTGAGCTTTTGTTGAAGGAAATGAAAGGGAAAGACTTGGCTGAGGTAATTGCTTCTGGAAGGGAGAAGTTAGCTTCAGTGCCGTCTGGTGGTGGTGGTGGTGTTGCGGTTGCTTCTGCTCCATCTGGTGGTGGTGGTGCTCCTGCTGCTGAGTCCAAGAAAGAAGAGAAGAAGGAAGAGAAGGAAGAGTCCGACGATGTAAGTTTACTTTCTTTCTAGCATAAGTCTTTTTTCTTGAATATTTCTTGAAATGAAATGATGGCTTACTTTTTTTTGTGAATTTGCAGGACATGGGTTTCAGTCTTTTCGAGTAATGCGGTATACTTGGCTTCCTGTTTTGCTGTACCCTTTTGAAATCTATATGTTGTTTTTTAGTTTGTTTCGATTATCTTTTTCGACTTTGCTGAAATTTTCAAGAGATTTGACTCAAACATCAGTCCACTTGTTACATCGTCAATGACATTTACTTACCAATAACCAGAGCTACTTAATGATGGATTGCATAATACGATCTAAGTATAGATTTGGTTCAGTATAAAACAGATTTTTTTCCTCTCAGTATGGTCCTTATTCTAATAATATAAGATATGTGAATCCAATAGTATCCAAGTTGTATGTTCTGATCTAAATATATTTGTTCTAACAATTTCAGTCTGGTTTGTGTCGGATTGGTTTGTCGGGATTAACATTTACCTAATTCTGATCAAGATTCAAAAGAGAGCGAAAAAAGTCTATGGAGTTAAGATTCCAAAACTAAATGTCAACAAACCGTAAAAGAAAACTGTTTCAAGATTTGGGTAACCGAAACCAAAAGTTTCTTGCAAGAGAGGAATTGGTAAGGCACTCCCTGTTTATTCATTCAATTGTGTCCATCAATCAATCACCTCCTTTACTCTTGGACCTCTGGCTGCTTCTTTCCACCTGCTTTCAGGTACCAACCAATCGAACCGAAAATAGCCACCACGCCTGCCACAACCGCATAGTTTCTGTTCTTGTCTTCTGACACCTTTGGGCCTGACTCGGCTGATGCAGATGCTGTTGCACCAGCAGCCTTGGCTTCGCTTGCTGTCCCTGCTGCTTGTTCTCCAGGACCCTAGTAAGTTCATAAGAAGTTTCAGAGCTCGAGTATTGGCCACACAAGACAAGACTCTAAATTTTCTCTTTTTTTTTCTTGATAGAACAAAGCTTCATCTAAACAAGCTATTCATAGGCTTTGAATGGGTAGTAGTTTTTAGCATGGTTTTTGGTTTTTGATTTCTAAAAACCAATAAATCATCCATTCAAGATTATGAGAAAAATGGTTTTCCTAAAAAATAGGAAATCTAGATTTTGATAGTTTTTACAATTTTCTTCACAAATCCCAAAAACCCATTTTTGTTAGTTTTTAAAATGTTTGCCGTGGATTCAAACTTTTTTTGTTTTCCATTTATTTATTTTTCTATTTTTTTCTCTTTTGCAAAATCCAAAAACCAAAAATCTAAATCTAAAATCTATAAACCAAAATCAATAATCTAAAAACCACTCAAAAACCCCAAAACATTCATGGCCATAGTTTCAATCAACAACTTGAGTTAAAAGAATCATTTACCTGTCGGGCTATCTTCTCAAGCTTCTCCTTCTCCATTTTCTGCAATGTAGAAAACACATAAGCAAGATATATAGAAGAACTGAAGATGAATGTATTATCTACCATGTTTCTAGTTCAAGCTGGATGTTACAAGGTTTATATAACAATACATTTAGCTTCTATAATCAGACACAATGTAAGTAAAAACAAAATATTATCTGTTCACAGCTCACAACAGAGACAGATAGAATCAAGCAAGAGCTTAATAATAAGTTTTCGTCACCATATAAGGAAAGTAAATATACTTTTAGCTTTGAGTATTCTTAGTCTACAATTACTGCTCGAAACTACGTATGATTGTATTCGATCCTCTTTTGTTACTCTATTAGCAGTTAAGGAAGCTCCTCTGTTAGCACTTCTTTCTTCTTTGAGTAATCTCCAACAGGGTTAATCAATGAAGATTTTTAGCTTTGAGTATTCTTAGTCTACAATTACTGTTCACATCGATAAGGAAAGCTTCTGATCTTTTACCTTAATGAAAACGTTCTCAGCAGCTTTCTCCTCTTCGCTAAAAATTTTGCCACTGGAGAACCTACGAGACACAATTCTCAAAGCATTTCTGGTTGCCATAGTAACGAAGAAGTATCCTGTACATAAAACATAAAACTCATTTTAACCAAGGCAAATAGTGACTGAAAGAGGTTCTAGGAACTAGCAAAATCATTTACTTTGAAAACCCTGAAATTGTTTCAGAACTCCATACAAACTGTAACAGAAGATCTATAAGGGAAAACACTGGTCTCTCACAATCCTTTTCGTCATCATCAATCATAAAATGGAGAAGCAAGCAACTATATGTTTGTATCTCTTAACAACAAAAAAGTATTTATATCAGCTACTATTTTAACCACTACATATTCCGCAGCACAATTAGTGATGATAGAAGTTCTTGGAGCTAACAAACTCGTTAACTTTGAAACACTAAAATTTTCTCAAGACTCCATACAAACAGTTACAGAAAATCTATGAAAGAGGAAACAACACTTGAGGATACTTTTCTCTCAAATCCTTTTCGTCATCATCATCATTCATACAGTAGCGAAGCAAGCAAAAAATTCTACTACTGTATCAAGTTTACTTTCAAATCAAAACAGACACTCATGGATCCTTGTGGTGGCTGTAAAATGTAAGTGTTTTTTACCACAGAGCACAGTGTAACAATCACAGTTTCTCATATAACAAACTGATCCAAACCTAGGTTTAAGAAAACGTATAGATGAAGCACAATAAGCTCAAAATCAATCCATTAGGTTACGTTAAATTCGAAAGCAACAAGAAGCGTAAACTAAAATAGATCATCCAGCGAAAATCCGATGATCGAAGACCGAAACAGGTCGCGAATAAACAACAAAGCACTGATTATAACAAATGTACGCGAAAAACGCGAAACCTAATCCTGATCCGAAAACCTAACTCCGACCTCGAAAATGTTGGTATCGCTAACGAAATATCGAGGTCAGGTGTTAGATCGACAGAGAAGAAAAGGTTAGGAAAATTTCTGAGAGAATCTAAAAACGACAAGGAAAGAAACGTAATCGGAGAAGATGATCGGAAGAAATGAGAACCTTGTACGAAGGTAGATCGTTAGAAAGTTTCGTCTGGCTGCTTGATGAAAACCGCTTAGAGAAGAAATGAATCAGTGAAGAAGAGGAAGGTGAGAGAGAGAGATATGGAAGGAGTTAAATGGGCTTAAAACTTAGCATTGGGCCCAAAATCATTGTTTAGCCCATCTATTGAATATTTGTAGTGAACATTAAAACTTTTTGTAATGGCCGCTTACATAGGAGTAGGACCCAAAAAAATGATTTTTGAAGTAGAAAACATTAAACTATTGATGATGAAATCTGATAAATCTTGATTTTTGAAAAAAAAAAAATCAGCATTACAAAGTTTTCGTTAATTGACGTTTTAAAAAATCGTTCCTTGATAATCATCGATTGAATAAGTTACAGTCTGATTTTTGGGATAAAAATTACATGAATTGGTGGAGAAAATGCGATATGAAAGTTTTGATAATGCATTTAAAATTGGAATAATATGTTATTGCTCTCGTATCTTCTTCAATATACATAAGACATATATTGATGTCAAATATATGTAGGACATATATGTATATTTTTAAGAATTCGTTCAATGATAAGTGCTAATTAATTTAAAAGAATTTGTATAAAAAATGACGATGATAATAGTCTTAAATAGTTAAATTAAATCTGACATATTCGTATATACGTAACCATGTTCTCTCAATATCTATGTGAGTATATATATAATCAAAAATTGCTTTTCCCGTAAGTTTCAGTCACAGTACAACTACAACCCCATATTTCACTGTCTCCTCCACATTACAAGAAGCCTTCAAATACAAGCACTCTTACATCTTTATTTGGCTTTTTCTTTTGTAAAGAAAAAGAATTATTTATCTATCTGTTATTCTCAGTTTTTGATCTTCATGAAAACTCAATTGAATATTGTATTTAACTTTTTTTTTTTTTTTTCTGTTTTGCCTTCAACTTCACACCTAACATTTTTTTCTAAATTTAATCCATACATTTGCCTACTTTATCTATACGTATCTTTGTCTTATTTATGGATTGAGAACCAAACAATGAGAATAACATTTAAGCTAACTATTTCAACTGATACCAACTCAAGAAAATTGTTATATTACCAATTCAATATAAACATGTTAACCTACTAGACCTTTTAGCCCCACTTGGTATTCTCTTTTTTTTACTATTTAGTTTTCCTCTCTATTAAGTATTAACCAACTAAATGTATTTCATACAAAACTAGTTTCAGATTTAAAATTTGACCTATTAAGTCTCTAAAATATATGTTTATATTCAGTGATTGTGTGTTCACTAAGAGGGCATTTTGGTCATTTGACATCGGTAACAAGTCTTGATAGGCTCTTAAGGCCAGTCTTGGGTTATATAACAAGTCATCTTCTGTCATTGAGGAAGAGAAAAAGGATCTGAGGAACAATGGCAACGACAAGACAGATCTTGGAACAGCCACAATCGCCATTTATTCAACGTATCAAGAGCTCAGGGAACATTAGCATTAACGGCAGTTCTATGATTGATGACAAAGAAGAGGAGCTTTCGCAGTCTGCTTTTGCTTTGTTTAAGGCAAAAGAAGATGAGATTGAGAGGAGGAAGATGGAGGTTAAAGATAGGGTCCAGACAAAGCTTGGACTCGCTGAGGAAGCTACTAGAAGATTAGCCGAGATTCGGGAAGTAAGTTTGGTTTGTAACATTTTCAAGAACTTGATGATCAAAGATGTTCATTTTGAGAGAGTTTGTGGTTTGTACATTTCCAGGAACTGGAAGCTCTTACTGATCCAATGAGAAAAGAGATATCCGCGATAAGGAAAAGAGTCGATGCTATTAACCGGGAACTTAAGCCTTTAGGACAGAGTTGTCAGAGAAAGGTAAGCTAATGTGTGTTTGGAAATGTTCATAACTCTTATCTTTAATTTCTTGTAGATTATTGAGACCATTGGTTGTTGTTGTTGTCACAGGAGAGAGAATTCAAAGAAGCGCTTGAAGCTTACAATGAAAAGAACAAAGAGAAAGCTATATTTGTTAGCAAGCTAGTTGAGGTGAAACATTCTGTTTCCATTTGTCATTTCTTTTCAAAATGATTGTTGTTTTCTGAAATCTTTTGGTATGAAAATGTGTTTTTCAGCTGGTTACCGAAAGCGAGAAACTGCGGATGACAAAGCTAGAGGAACTCAGCAAAAGCATTGAAATATCGCTACGCTAACACAAGATGAAGGCTATAAAAGCAGCCAACTTTAATTTCTTCTTTCTTCTTCGCTTTTTAATTGTTTGATTCGATATTTGCTTTTCTGTGTGATCAAATCTGTTTTCCTGATTCAGTAACCTTAGAAGAAATGTGTCAAAATATCACATTCTTATGTCTTCATTTCTGTGTGACAATGCTTCAGAAATATGCCTTTTACTTCTTGACCCTGCGAGTTTTGTAATCGGAAACTTTAACCTCTATCAAAATTTCTTACAAAAGCATTCCTAATTCAATGTATAGTGAAACAGAGAAACATACTCAAATATGTTACTATCACTAATATTCTCTGATCTCTTTTGCTGTTTCTCTACCCTAACCTTCTGTTGCACTTCAACTCTTTCCTTCCACTTCTCTGCATTCTTCTCGCGCCTATTCTTTTCCTTGCGAATTCTCTGCTTCAATCGCTTTGGATCATCACGAATCTTGATACCAGCAGCTCTGCTAATAGCCGCTTTCCACGAGTGCTTCTTTGCAACAAAATCTCCTTTCTTAGGATCTTTCTTCAAAGCCTCTAACTTCATCGCCATTTCAAGCTCTGTCGCCTTAGAAACTCTTTCCTTCTTTCTGTTTTTCCCGTATTCCTCGTCATCATCCCCAATCTTAACATAACCATAAGTAAGATCCTTCACAACCTCTTCAACAACATTCAAACCTGAGTCTCTATTCCTTTTATTCTTCTGAAGACGGCGTTCTCTCATCTTCTCAAATGTATCATCTTCTTGAAAACCAAGAAACATAGGCTTGATACCAAACTTTTCTTTTTCCTTTTCCAGCTTCTGTTTCTGCAAATCAAGAGTGGTCAAAACAGATTTTTCAGGGTCTAATCTATATCTCTTAGCCTTCTTTAAGTTTTCAATTGTTTCTCTCTTGGAATTAACTTTTTCTTCCTTTCTAAGACCTTGAAACCACTTCATTTCCTTATCATCGTCGGACAAGTAGATTCTCGCAGGGACGAGATTTATTAACTTGTCTGAGAAGTCAGCATGACGATGAATCTTATCGACAATGGTGTCCGATTCAAGATCAAGTTTCACCTTTTTATTTGTCATCTACAAATATAATGAAAAACAAATCACAATCAGAACAATGTCTTTTGCTTGTAGACAAGTGTAGAAGCTAAGAAGACACAGAGTTGCAGAAAAACCCTAAACCTAAAAGGCTAAAACAGAGGAAAGAGATTTATAGCGAATCACGCGTATTGGGCCCATAATTAATGGGCCTTCTAGTCAGAAAACCAAAACTAAATTGAATTGAAAACGGTTTAGGTAAACCGGATATATTTTTCTCGACAAATCGGAGCGGCGGAGAGTGAGAGAGAGAGAGAGACGAAGGAGATGATGTTGTTAAACCCTAGCAATGGCGGAATCGAGGAAGAGAAGAAGAAGAAGAAGAAGAAGGCGAAGGTGGTTGTGATAATGGGTCCAACAGGTTCTGGGAAATCAAAGCTTGCCGTCGATTTGTCGTCTCACTTTCCGGTGGAGATTATTAACGCCGACGCAATGCAGATTTACTCTGGTCTCGATGTTCTCACCAATAAAATCACCATCAATGAACAAAAAGGTTACTTTTTTTTATTTTGATTCGAAGTTCTGATTGTGAAAATTATCATAGTTAGAGATGACTTTGGTGTCAGTGTAGCTTTGTTTTGAAGTGATTTGTGAATTTGGGGGTTTGGTTTAGGAGTGCCTCATCATTTACTTGGGTCCGTGAGTCCAGATATGGAGTTCACAGCTAAGGATTTTCGAGACGTAACCATTCCTGTGAGTACAAATTTATACCTCCTTTGAATTTATGATATGATGTTGTTGTTGTATGTAAGAGTAGCAATTACATGTATACTCAATGATTTTTGTCCCCGGTCTTTCATGCTACTCTGTATCTGTATATCAGTGTCATCGTGGTTTTCGTATTAGAAACATCTAAGTGATGGTTTGATTGGTATGATATAGTTTTGATTACTTTGTTTCAGCTTATTGAGGAGATCGTTTCTCGCAATCACATTCCAGTTCTTGTTGGAGGAACACATTATTATATACAGGTAATAATCTTGTTGCTTAAGTCATGATGGTTTTGTGGCAAGATCACCGTATGATTTACCTTGTTTAATACTGTTATCTTATCTTAGTCATGTTCTTCATGTAGGCTGTTGTAAGTAAATTTCTTCTAGATGATTCCGCAGAAAATACTGAGGACTGCTGTTCAAATGTTGCTTCAGGTATCTAGGATCTCTATCAACATGACACCTTTTTGAAAAATCTTTTTAACAGGATAATGAGAAATTTTATGCGGACAGTGGTTAACGAAGACATGGATGTTGAGTCTGTCTCTGGGAGAGATGATTTGAGCCATGGCTATGACCTTCTTAAAGAGCTTGACCCTGTGGCGGCAAACAGAATTCACCCTAATAATCAAAGAAAGGTGAGATTTCTGATTCGCCATTTTCTTCTGTATAGATCCTGAATTTATGTGGCTTTCATGGTCTTTACACAGTTTCATGTGATTTCTGGTTTATTTACTATGGTTCAATGTTTTGTAGATTAATCTATACCTGAGCTTGCATGCTACTAGAGGAGTTCTTCCAAGCAAGCTATATCAGGGAAAGACTGCAGAGGTGGATTCCTTCTTCGTTACCCCGAGTTTAGTTTCATTTTTAAAATATGCAATCAGATGTGTCATGTGTGTATCTCTCTTACGTAAATCATTATCCCTTAAATTTAAAGAGTATTGATGACCCTTAAGCTTAACTGCTTTGAGAAGTTAATTAACTAATGTATTTCGGCAGGGCAGAACTGGGGCTGCATCGATGCATCTCGTTTTGATTACTGTTTGATATGCATGGACGCTGAAACCGCAGTACTGGACAGATATGTTGAACAAAGAGTTGATTCTATGGTAGATGCTGGACTACTTGATGAAGTATATGACATCTACAAACCAGGAGCCGACTATACTAGAGGCCTAAGGCAATCCATAGGTGTCAGAGAGTTTGAAGATTTCCTGAAATTAAATATCTTGGAGAGAGGTGGTGGTCAGTTAACAAGCTCAAGCAACAATGATAAGGTTATGAAGGAGAATCTGAGAAAGATTCTGAATTTTCCGAAAGATGATAAGTTGAAGATTATGTTAGAGGAAGCAATTGATAAGGTGAAGTTAAATACCAGAAGGCTTCTTCGTCGTCAAGTAAGTTCTCCTTGATGCACAACTCTCTAACTTTGGAGATTTATCTATCAGGTCTAAAACATTTCATTTGTTGTGTTTCAGAAAAGGAGAGTTAGTCGGCTAGAAACGGTCTTTCGCTGGAATATACATTACATTGATGCAACAGAGTACATATTAAGTATGCATCATGTGTTGCATCAATGTTTCAAGCAAATACCGTATAGCTACTTGGAGAACAAACTTTAAAAATTTCTCTTGTTGTTGTGTTTTTTGTTCTTAAAAGGCAAATCTGAAGAATCATGGGATGCGCAAGTGGTTAAACCCGCGTCAGAGATCCTCAAGCGTTTCCTGATGACAGAAACTGATACCGGTCATGATTTAACCTCCGGAAAGTCCATTGAAAGAGATTTATGGAGTCAATATGTTTGTGAGGTATGTCTCAGTTTCCCTTAAAACTCCAATGGAACCTCCCTAAATACTAAAACAATGTTTGTTGAAGCAGGCTTGTGGAAACAAGGTACTAAGAGGAAAACACGAATGGGAACAACACAAACAAGGCCGTACGCATCGTAAGAGAGCCAGTCGACTCAAAAAGGCCCAAACTTTTAAAAACAGAGAAGTGCAAGAAGCAGAACTAAAAGTGACTTAAATTATAAAAGTCTGTCGATTTTGCATTCGAATAGGTCATGAAAAGGTTAATGTCACAACAGTTTCTTGATTGAATCTAAAAGATCTAATTGTCCATTTGCTAATTATGTGTCAGAATCGACAAAATCATGAGTTTACCTTTGAAACAATTGAGAAATATATAGTTTGGTTGTTGCAAAAAGATAAAAGAGAGGAACAGTTGTCCAAAGAGATAGGGAGGAATGGTGCTGTAAAGTGAAAAAGAGGTCACGAGATAAATTAAAGGACAAGTAAATAAATAAGAGAGACTCATGAGTCTCTCTTAAATAAATAAATAAGGATCACTCCAAAAATGGTCCTTATTAATATATTTTATAATATACACGTGTCATTCGTTTACTTTTATTGTAACCATAAGGGCAAAATGTTCACCCTAATTATTGCAATTTTATTTGAAGTAAATCCACTTTTAAACTTTCATCTAATTCGTTTACTAAAAACTTTTCAACTTAAAATCTGTAATCTGTAAAAAGAAAAGTCATATCAATGTATTAGTTACTCTGTTTTTTTATTGAAAGCCCTTTAAAAACAAAAAAAATTGTGTAAACGAAATTAAATAATTAATCTTTCGTCTAAAAGTTGAGACTTTAAAAATACCGAGAAATTCAAAAAAAAAAAACTATTTAGCTTTGCTATAAGGGAATTTATACAAAGTAACCATGGATTCAAAAAGAATATACAAACTAACCATGAGCTACAGTAACTTGTTGGTAACATGTCGGAATGCATGTGTAATTACGTATATATCTTTTGTAACACGCTTTTTTTTTCGAATTACATGTGATAGCATAATATATCTCTTTTTATCATGTATTTTTTTCGTATTACACGTTATTTATAAACAACAAATGGTATTTCTTGGAAAAAACATTCTATTCAGTATAATACCTCTCTTAATCATGTTATTTTGTAATAATACACGTTTTTTTATTAAGATCACATGTGATTTCTTTTTAAAAAAGATGATTATTTTTTAGCAATACACAATTTTTATTAAGATTATATGTGATTTCCTTTTAAAAAAATTCTATTCATATTAAATTTTCTATAACAATGTTTTTTCTTAAAAAACACTACGTAACAATGTTTTTTCTTAAAAATTCACTATGTTTTTTTGAAAAATCATGTCTTTTAGTTAAATATAACATGTGAAATTTAAATGTTACATGCTATTTTGAAAAATCTCACGAAACTGTCTCGCATATCGTTGATCTTGCAACAAACAAAGGATAATTTTGGTATTTCACTTCATCTGACAACGTGAGTCCATAGCTATTTTGCTACAAAAAAACTTTTTCTCTACTATTTTTTTAATTTGAGTGTTTTATTTGGCTATCATATAATATTACCCTTGCTATAATCTCAAATCTCATAATTTGTATGTAATATTGGCGCGACTATACTACTTATGTATTCTCAAATGATTGACATTAAAAAATCATTATTGTAGATTTTATTTATTCTATAGCTAGTCATTTGAAAAATTCCTAAAAAATGACTCAAGTCATAAATAAACTTTGACAAAACGTACGGGAGCTCAATCATGTGCAACCAAATTACGTTAACACATTATTAGTATTAATATACTCTCGATATTTAAAGCTTTAAAATGACTCAACCATAAATAAATTTTACTCGAATTGACCATAAAATGATTATAATGTAAGAACACAACATCATGATTTTATACACTTCACTATGATCAATATATCTCGAGATATTTCGTATCCAAGTATCATATAGAATTATTTTGTCTCCAACCTGAGACCAGTCTCAAAATTGCAGTGTCTAGTCTATTGGTGACTATCAATGTGAGATATTATATAGGATTAAACAACTTCTTGTTTTCTGGTGGTTGAAGATTTATGATGTGGGTCTAGGTTAGACATTTTTCCATTATTGTGATTTAATTATGATTGATTACTGTTAGCCTTCAAATAGAAAAAAAAAAAAAAAAAAACTCGATTTTCCACAAATTTCATGGATTATTTTGGATAACGGTTTACATTTTTTTTGGTTATAAAGAAATCCATGAGATCGATGCATTAATATCTAGCATGAATAATATTTTCTTAAGACAGATTTAAATTTATATGTTCGTGTAATTTCAAATATTAGATTACTAGTTGTATTACTTTGCGTAAACTCGATATTTGGTTTATGACTTCAAGAGTTCTAGTAAAATTTGTGTTGGCCGACTGACTGAAAAATAAATGATGTCAAAGATTAATTTCAAAAGAGAACTGAGGGATATGTAGAGTAAATGTCACTTCTGAACAATAGTTACATTAATGTCACTTTGGCATTGTACCAATTAATATACTACTATTATAAATAATTGTATAGTCACATTAATGTTACTTTGGCATTGTACCAATTACTATAATTATAATTGTATATTTGTATTCGAGGAAAGTTCTCAATTCATTATAAAAAAAATTAAAAATTAAAGGATAAATATAAAAGACATGGTTGTGTGCCTATATATATGGGGTACATTAACATTTACAAAGGACACATGCAGGGCCATGTGAAGAGCCTAAGCAAATTTAATGCTACTCTTGTTCTGAGATACCGTTACTTATTCTTTCTTCATCTTTTTATCTTTTTCTATTTTTTTTATTTTTTTTCATATTAAAATTGTTAATAAACAATTTAATTTTAGTGGAAGTTGTTAATCTACGAGATTAAATTGTAAAATAATTACTTGGGTTATGACATGTCATTGTAAATGATATTGTCATTTTTGTAAGAGATCATTTGACTCATGAAGACAATTGAAGTTTGGAGTATATGGAGAAATAAATATTTGCAGAGCAAAAGAGTACTTGTTGGATGAGTATACAAGTACTAGTAGGGGAGAGGGCTGATAGATTTTGATTCGAAAATTAAATTGTAAGACAATAAGGGACCACTAATGAAGAGAGTGAAAGCAATACAGACACTGTGTGGCACATGTATCACCCTTCCCTTTTCAGTTTTTTTTTTTTTTTATTAGTTAAAATAAAGAAAGAAAATAGAATGTTTAATTAGGAAGATATTCTTAAGGAGATTATTAAGTGTGAGGTTTGGCTTTGTATGGAGAGACCTTTAGGTGAGAGGGAAGTTTTGGTTTCACAAAATGGAAGAGATAGCTAATGTTTTGGGTTGGAGGATTTGGATTCGATTAGAAGTAAATTCAGCTAAATACGAAAATATTAAAAATGAAATTATATAGCTCTAATCTCATTGTCTGAGGTTAGTTCAACAATTGTTATTATATAGCTTAAGCTCACGTTTTGAAAAATGAAATTAATACGGAAGTAACTTCTGATTTAAAAAGAAAAAAAATCAATGGTAATGTATAGCCTTAGTTTGAAGTCTTGAGATTTAAAGATGTTTTGGTGGAGCCAAATGAGTCTAAACTAAAAAAGATATCATATGGATCTAAGATTAAGCAAGAAGATGCAGCGGAGGTTTTGAATATGAATCTCTTAATACTCCGCCTTGGATATCTAAGTTCTAAAAAAGGTAATCGATTAACCAACTACTCTTGAAACTGGAAAACTTTTAAAAGTTCTACTTATCGAAATATTTACAGAATAAAATCTATTTTAAATAACATTTTTATAATTTTAAGAGGAATTGAGGAAAGTCAAATATATGAAAATTTGGATGTTTAGCTAAATAGTTACAAACTAAATGCATTTAATATTAAGATCTCTGAAGAAAGGACCAAGCCATTCACTTTCCAAACTCTCTACCAAAACAATATGATAAGATCAATGACACCTTAGAGTATGCTCGAGATGGCTTAACTTAAGTGACAATTGGAGTATACTCCAAAGTGGTTTAATTCACCAAAACAAATCTGGAAGAACAAGCTCTAGCAGCTTTTATGACAATATGAAGACTAGATAAGCAAGTTCAAAACATGATATCTTCTATACGAAAGCAAAGGGATAGAAGATACGAAGGTTGTATAGCGGTTTGTCTTGTATCAAGGTAAGAAAGAAGGTTGCTTCTAATTTTTTTTTTTTAAATTGTATGTTAAAAACGCTTAAACAAATGCTGCAATTGGCCAATTGTTGTTAAAAAGTTTTTTCCGAAGAAATTTTATATTTTGTTAAAAGAAAAAAAAATACCGCATTACAAAAAGAACTCATATGGTTCTCAAAGTAAAAATAATAACAAGGATAAAGACATCAAAACGAGTTTGTTGAATATGTCAATCCTTCGATCATTTTAAGATAGATTGTCCACATAACAAAACAAAATATCGAAATGATATAAATTCATGTTAAAAGAAGAACATGTTGGATTGGCAAGGGTTCAAGAATGAGAACCTAATAATTCCACAAGCTCAAGATTTTCGAAATAGAACTAGTATCACACTTAGATGTACACATCACATTGCTCCAATAAAGATTGGTTCATAAAGCTTGAATCATTCGAGGGTGTAAAAGCGATGATGAGTAAGAACATTTTCTCTTCAATCAAATGGATTTGTAAGGTGAAGTTTACTAATCACCACTGTTTGAAAATTATTGTCACAAATGTAAAGTATGTCCCTAATATAGGGAAAATCCAATATATGTGGAGATTTTGGAAATTCATGATGAATGAGTTTAAAAATTTTCATAATATCATTAAGAGTGTAAGAAACTACTAAATAGAATTGGCAGAATAATATATACATTCTTGAAGGAAATATAATATGAGACCTTGTAAATACTGTAAGTGTTACACATAAAGAAACAATGACGTGTCACAATAGATTAAAGCAAATGAGTAAGAAGAATGCAAGTATTATGATAAGGAATGTCACTCTAGATGACAAGCAAATCTCAAAATTTTCTTTATGTTGAATTGTGGTAAAAGAAATGAACATACAAGTACAACTTTTTAGAACTAGGAAATACAATTTAAAAAGGATAGTGTAATATGTTCATTATAATTTGGAACTTGTCTTTACTACTACTTAGGTGATACCTAAGTTATTAAAACTAGTCCTTACCTATTACTAATGAACACCATACATCCGCGTCCATCATCTGGACTCGGAGTTGGAACTTGGAACTTCAAACACAAGCCAAACACGTTCCATAGTGCACATATCACATTTTGTATGCTACATGATTTTTAAAAAAGTTTCGTTATGGTGTTGCGTGAAAATGTGCTATTGATATCTCTCTCTTGAGATTTGTTCATGGGCTTAATATAGTCAAATTTCTATTATATGTCAAAAATGGTAAATTTGTCAGGCACTGGAATTCTGAATTGGTTTTTAATGACTTCAAGCAGTATTTTAATTATATTGTAATGTTATGTTGACCGAATCGTTTATTTGTATACTATTGCATTAAAATATACTTATATTCTTAGAAATAATAAAATACAGAGTAACATAGACATAGTTAATCTTAATCATATAAGATTTACATGCAATAATCATTTTAATACTAAATTTCTGTAGTACTACATAATCAAATCTAATATATCAAAGCTCAAACTTATATGAAAACATAAGTTTGGACTGGCTATAATCAAAATCTAAAACTAAAGCTTGAACAATTTGCAGTCTACTCACCTAAAACTCTCCAAATCAACCAAACAAGAAAAAATCTTTGCTTGAATGGAATGTCACCACCTAAATCTCTCCTAACCGAAACAACTTAGCTAAAAATTAGCCATTACTTGACTTTTATTTTTACAACAATTTTAACAAAAAATGTAAAGAAATACTCTAATTTATAATGTGGTCATCTAAAACCAGAAGAAAATTGGTTGAATGAGATTTAATCACCTAATACTTTCCTAACCAAAATAACCTAACCAGAGTTGGAACTTGAAAACATAATAAACTATGCCTTTAACTTTCATATACTGATATTCTAAGTTTCTGAGCAAAGAAAACAAAAGCATTTTACTTCATTCATAAATTTTGTTAGATTAATAGGAAAAACAAATTAGCATGAGTAGATTCTAGACCTTTTAACTTTTGTACTTTAAAGAGGCTCCATGCATATCTTTATAGGCGTGCACATATGCCCCAATATTCTCATCTTATTTCACACTCTTCAATTCTTCTTCCTTAACCATAAATCATCAATTACTTCAACATTTATGAAAGAAAAAAACGTATAACTGTAGATGAGCCTACATAGTAATAAAGATCATAATGTTGCCAATAAAGAGAGTCATAGAGACAAATATTTTCCCAACAAATGACTTTCAATTTAAGATTCGACAATGTTCTTGAATCAATAAGAAAACTAAATTTAGAAACAACAACTCCTATGAAGAAATTCACATTTTTAGAATCTCTCAATACTAAATCACAACTCAAAAAAAAAGAAAAGAATGTAATAAGAAATCAAATCTATACTCCTCCCAAGAAGAAATTGTAAGTTCAAAAAAAATAAAAAAACACCCATAATTTTTTTTTTCTCAAATATTAAAAACAGAATCAATCAATCAATAACCTTTTCTTGTAAATCTCAAAACAAAAAAAAATTGAGTTTTTTCTTTTTTGTTTTTCAAGTCTTACAGGCGTAAATGAGGAGAGAGAAGTCAAGCTTGTCTTGTTGTTCATCTTTCTTAACCATCTTCTCTTCTAACCAAAGCCTGCTACTGTCTAAACCATTCCTTGTCCTAAACATGAACACAGCTCTTCCACAAGCTCCTTGATTACTAAAGAACCAATCATGAACATCCCACATTAGATCTACAAGCAATCCATCCAAGAAAATCGTCTGATTCCCTCTGAAATTCCATTGAAGCCTCTTCACTTTTATCACTGTCTTCTTATCAATACAAACAGAGAGAACAGGGTAATGAGTGCTCTGTTTTAAACCCTCTGTTTCTTTATTACATCTGATGACGATTTCATGTGAATCTCCTGTTTCAACGAATCTAGCTTTAGTTGAGTAAAAAGTGTTGTTCCCTGTGAAATGTTCTTGTCGAGAAACAAGAGAGAAATCGAAACCGATATCGCCGGAGAAACCCTTTTTACGGAGGGTTTCTTCAGATGAATCTCCTAGAAGAAGACCCAATTGAGCATCAACGAGAACGATAACGTAGAAGCCATTGATAGGTTCAGGACCAGACAAGTTTGAATCGTATTTAGCAGAAGAAAGATCCCAAAAAACCTCGATTTTACCGAGATCGGAGTCTACTGATTTGTTACCTTTCTTCTTACGGAAGAAACGAGAAGAAGTGTTGAGTTTGAGAGTTGTTGAAGGGTTTTGATCTGCGGAAGAAACAGAGATGCTTAAGCCATTGTTGTTGTGTGGATTGCACCATGTGACTTTGATGATGAGATGTTTCGATAAAGTGATTCTGTAGATGCTTGTAATGGAGGTTTGTGTTGATGGTAATAGAGATGGTGAGATACAAACATTGTTGGTACTGTATTTTGAACATGATGATGATGAAGATGATATTGATAATGGATGTGTCACGTTTATTGAGTTCTCGCTGAAACATGACACCAAATCTCTCATCTTTTTTGGGAAAATTGTAACAAAATAAAAAGAGAGATATTTTCTTGGGAAAGAAATGAGATTTTCCCAAGATGGGTTTTGTTTGTTTGATTCTTGAGACAACAAAGTGTGTTTTTTTTTTTTTAACTTTGAGAATCAAAAGATCAAATGTTGAGAAGAAGAAGAAGAATGAGAGAGTAACAAATCTGGGTTTTTGAAGGTTAAGGATTTAGGTTGCTTTCTTTTTATTTCTCCTCTTATTCTCTCTTTTTTTTTTTGCTTTATTGAGAGAGAGAGAGAGAGAGAGAGAGAGAGAGAGAGAGAGAGAGAGAGAGAGAGAGAGAGAGAGAGAGAGAGAGAGAGAGAGAGAGAGAGAGAGAGAGAGAGAGAGAGAGAGAGAGAGAAAAATGGATTAGAGTCTCTATGTGTGTGCTAAGAAGAGAGTGGAGGTGAAAAGGAGCCGAATTTAAGTAGTTTTGAGCTTTCATTGTCTAGGGGACACAAATTTGATTTTGATATATTTTTTTAATAGTAGTTGTATGCTAACTAATTTTAAAAGTTTTATGGTACAACTTATGAATTCTATGACTTTAATTTTTTAAAAAATACTAATATTTCAAAAAGGAATTGAAATTTGGTGTTAGTCAAATATGACTTTTAGATTAACTTTAATTGTTTAAAATAAATTTGTAAAGTTTCTATAGTTATAATGTAAGAGAATTATGACTGAAAAATGTTTGAATTTACAATTAGAGAAATTCTTTTATAATGATGGTCAAAACAACTCTCAGTTAATATAGACATAATATCGTCGTTATAATTATTGAGGATTTTTTATTGAACTATGCATAGCTTAAGAAACCGTCATAATTAAAAGGAAGGTTAAGTAAATGTTTGTATTACTAGTAATACGTTTTTATTTTATCTCTTCCAGGTCCAGATATCGGTCAAGGAGAGTTACAATTTATAACCGAAAAAAAAACTAAAAAGTTTCTGGCAGCTAAAATTACTACCAATAATCACTACAAGGTTTGTTGCGAACAATAAAAAATAAAGACTTATTACATATATGTAATTAAAAAATATCCTCGATATTTTAGGCGTCCAGAACCTACTAACAAAATTTTGGATCAGGATTACATATTTGATTTGTCAAGAATATTTAAAAAAAATTATAAGAAATTAGAGTTAATATCTTAGAAAACATAAGAACAAATTTAATTTTTTTATATTTATAATTTTTTGTTTTCTGTTTGATATTATATTATGAACAAGTTAATGTTTGTGATATGTTAAATCTGATCCAATTGACTCCAAAAAAATCAGATATCCAATCTATATGGAAGTACGTTTGAATTGGTTGGATCAAAGGTGCAATTATCTATATACGGTGCATTTTAAAAGCAAGATAATAGAGAAGTGACTGTGGTCTAGTGGCGTTCATAAGTCCATAAAAATACCGGCACCACTTCACCCGAGATTAAGTCTCTTCTCCTACAATAGAGTGCACTGGAATAATGGACCGACACGTTGTGCCCCAATAGATTTTAAAAAAGCAAAACAGTACTGAAAACAAAGCCGACAGATGTCAAGGAACTCGAGATATGGATCGATAGCTTTGACCGGTATGGATGAGCCACCATTGGTAGTAGTCTAGGAAGCTAAAAAAAAAGACTGATACTTTGGACTGGTACTGGCTTGCTGCGAGTGGTACCAATCTAAGAGAGGATGTGTGAGCCGGTTGTACAAGTGCTCTTAACCGCCAAATGTTGAAACTTCGTTTATTTTCTCGTGTTCGCCTAAATTTTCTCGAAGTTCCGATTTTCTTTTATTATCAATCCTTAAAATGATAAAGAAGAGTTTTCGCCTATATTTTCTCCAAGTTCAAGAAAAGTTTAATCCCCTACAAAAATATCACAATTTCCTAACTAGAGTCGACTCAATACACATCAAAACACAGAAAAAGACAAAAAGAAACACAAAAAATGTAACATTGGAAAAATAAAAGCTACAAGAACATATTAGGAATGTGGTCCAACTTATCCCAAAAGCTAGCTCAAGAGTTAAGGGTCGCCACATCTTTTATATATTACCCAAAGATCTTAATCACAAGCAATGTGAGACATTCTAATCGTACAAAACAAATGGTACATGAAATTGATCGATCAATCCAATCCTTTCCGAAGAGAGTCGCATTGATTTGATCTTCCATTCCCATCCCTAGCCATCAAAGTACCTAAAAACAAATAAACAAAGATAAAAATGTTAAATTCCCCACCATGAAATGCATGAGCATGAATCTCAAAGGTTGAGTTGCATGTATCTTCTAGTTATCAAGGTCAAACCCAAAATATTACTTTTCGTTTATCACCTACACATTAATAATAATAATAATAAGTAAAAAAAAAAAACTTTTTGATTGGTTACCAAATCTAGAGGGAACAAAATTTCAAAAGAAACACTAACAAATCTTAAATTAAAAACTAAACAGTATGCCTTAAAATTTGAAGGAACGAGAGATTAATGACAACAAAATTAACTTGGGGGCAAACCAAACTTAACAAAGTAAAAAAAAAAAAAAATCAAACCAATATATTTACCTTCTTAAGTTCTTGAAATACATTATGTCATCGAAAGTAAGCTCCATCTCTTCTAGTGATGTCCGAGATGAGATGATATTCAACTCGATTATAGTCATTAATTAGTGAAAATATTTAGAATCAAGTAGGGAGAATAGAGATGAACATGGTGAAGGTTAGAGAGAAAGATGATTTATTTTGATGAGATGAAAGTTACAAATGGTTTGCGGCAGCACATGGTTTATATAGGGAGCTCACTAGGTCTAGATGGGTATACACATAATCTTAAAAGCATCCTCATTTAGCCTAGTGAGTCACCGTGTGCTTTTGCCACTTTCCAGCTCATGACAACGGTCATAAGCTACACGACAAGGCCGTACACGCGCTTAGCACCATCCGGATAAGGATGGTCTCCTTCCCGCGTCCGTACAGTCCAAGATGACCGTTACCTCTCTTCCTCTTATTCAAAATAATTACTTGCGTAACAAGATACCCATTTCATTCTTAACTATCACTTAGTTAGAATAAAATGTCTTCTTGATCAATACTCCCCCTCAAGTTTATACTACAATAATCATTGTTATAAACTTGACACTTATGCGAGTGACCTCGTTAAAAACATAAGATTGGAAAACCACGTGGGACAAAACCAATCTTAGGGAAAAAGAGTATCACTGACATAAGTAGGGAAGTTCTCTCAAGGGTGTGTGAGGTCTACAAGTCCAAGTTTTCCATGAATAAATTTGCAAACTTGGGTACTTGCTGCCTTGGTAAAGATATCGGCCAATTGGTCCGAACTTTCAGTGTAGCAAGGTAAGATAGTACCATCTTCGATCTTCTCTCTAGTCTTGTGGCAGTCTATCTCCACATGCTTGGTTCTCTCGTGAAACACCGGGTTGTTGGCGATGTGAATAGCCGCTTGGTTATCGCAATGAAATGTGATGGGCGTCTTTTGCTCTATCCCAAAGTCTTTAAGAAGCGCCTTTAACCATGTCAACTCATTTGTAAGCTTCTTCATGGCTCTATATTCCGCTTCAGCACTTGAGCATGATACCACCTTTTGCTTCTTTGACTTCCAAGTCACTAGGTTTCCCCCAATGAAGGTGCAAAAGCCGGTTGTCGAGTGTCTATCATTACGATCTCCACCATAGTCCGCATCACAATACCCAACTATCTCCGTGCTTGAGTTCTTTCCCATCCAAATGCCTTGGCCGGGGCTCCCCTTGAGATACTTTAGAATCCTATCTACCATACTCCAATGGTACACCGTGGGCTCTTTCATGTGTTGACTCACTTGATTCACTGCAAAAGAGATATCAGGCCGAGTGTAAGTCAAATAGATTAGCTTACCCACAAGTCTTCTATATTGCTCCGGGCAATGATATCGTCTATCATCCTTCTCCCCCTTTCGATTGACCTTATATCCTGGCTCTAATGGTGTTGAAACCGGTTTGGCTCCAAGCTTTCCCGTAAGTTTTAGAAGATCGAGTGTGTATTTGCTTTGTGAGAGAAATAGACCCTCCGGTGATCTACACACTTCGATACCTAAAAAATATTTCAACACACCAAGATCTTTAATGTCAAAAGCATTGTGTAAAGAGGTTTTGATAGACTTGATACCTTCCTTGCTACTCCCCGAGATGATCAAGTCATCAACATAGATTAAGACAACTACAATGCCTTGATCATTTTGGAGAGTAAACAAGGTGTGATCGGATTCTGACTTCTTGAATCCATTAGCCTTTAACGTGGAGCTTAGCTTGTGGTACCAAGCTCTTGGGGATTGCTTTAGACCATATATAGCTTTGCGGAGTCTTAACACTTTTCCCGAAGCCACCAAGTTCTCTAAACCCGGAGGAGGAGTCATATAGACTTCTTCTTCTAACTCTCCTTGAAGAAATGCGTTCTTAACATCCATTTGCCATAATTCCCAATCCAAGTTGACCGCCAAAGAAAGAACCACTTTCACCGTATGTTGCTTGGCTACCGGAGCAAATGTCTCCCGATAATCATCACCATACGTTTGAGTAAACCCTCTTGCCACTAATCTTGCCTTGTATCTTTCTATATCTCCATTACTCTTGTACTTAATAGTAAACACCCATTTCGAACTCACACACTTCTTGCCTTGTGGTAGCTCTTCTTCGTCCCATGTATGATTCCTTAACATAGCTTGTACCTCATCATTAACCGCATTGTCCCATTCCTTGATTCCCTTAGCTTCCTCATATCTTTGTGGGACAAACTCCACATCTAGCTTGCTAATAAAGGCCTTATGTTCTTCGGGAAGAAGGTCAATCGAACATGTCGCTTGAATTGGATGAGCCACGGCTTGACAATTGTAGTACACTCTAGATTTATTCTCTCTCATGCTCCTTCTTGGATTCTCTCTAGTGTAGATAGGGTCTTGTGTTGCTTGTGGAGCTTGATATGTCTCATCATCACTTGAAGATTCAATAACCTCTCCTTCATTAGATGGATTCTCTTCTACCACTTCTTCACTAGACCTTTCTTCTCTATCAATCCCTTGTTGATTATCCGAAGCTACTTGTGATATGTTATTACCCTTTTCTTGAGCTATATCATTACCACTCTCTTGAGCTTCAATAGTACTATCATTTGGTATGGCTTCTCTTTCTTCTTGACGAGAGCATCCATTACTCAAATGTTCAAGAATATGCCTAAGACTTCTAGCTCTATCCGAAGTTGAATTTGGCAAGTC